GAGTTAACTGAGGACCTCACAATACAACACACCTCAGAGCCAAATAAAGAAAAAACAAAACATTTATATCAAATTATACGTGTGTACATGTAGATGTAGCTAACATTAGCCGTTCGATGATAACTGATTACACAGCAGTTACTAATATCCAATTAGTACAATAAACTCACTAATCACAAATACCGATATTTAGAGATTCCAAGGAGAATCCAGGTCGTCGGTCTGCCTGTGCAACATTCTGCATAAGGCCATATCCTTCGCAATCAATAAAAAAGAGGAAGTTGGTGGTCACGTGTGAAAAAATGTTATTATTCATGAAATAATGTAGCAGGGGTTTCTAACAAACAAAGTTCTCTTGTCTACACTTGGAAATATTGTTTCTTGCATCGTCCATACGTCAATGCAATTGGATTTTTCTTCCTTCCTTTACGATCGTTCCCAACTCGTCTATAGTTCGCATGTGGTGACCCTTACCTCCCTTCTTTTCACGATTCTTCCATTACGTGCAGGTTCAGGAACAAAAAGGTGCACTGCCATTGTGGGGTCACCCTTTTATAACCCCATTGTTTAATTCTCCCGCCTCCTATCACATGGTCTCCTTAACAGCCAATCAACAGTTCACTGACTACCCCCACAAGGTGGCACGTGACATGAAGGAAAATGACATTGACATGTTACAAAATAGTGAAACCTGACACATAATGAAAAATTTAGCAAAAATAAAAATATAAGGTAAATTACAATACAGATAAAGTGCATAGCACTACACATGAAATTGTATGAAATCCACACATCCAAATTCATGTATGTCCACATTACACATCCATGTATTTATTTATGTATTGTGTACAAGAAAATAAAAACGGACTTTTAACATTATGTTTTTAGACACATTACAGTATCCATAGAAAATAAACTTGTTAATAGAGACTATTAACAGATGTTACTGAATGGTTCAGTGCAGAGTTTGAATTGAAAAATTAGCCTGTATGCAGTGGTGACATTTGAAATATTTAACAAAGGGATCACTAACAGAAAATTTTTCCTTAACAATTTTTTTTTGCTCAAATGGTGCATTAGCAACATTAGCGCAAAAACTGAACTTAAGATACCCATATAAATAAAAAAGATGTGTTTGCAAAATTAAATCAGTTAAAATTTAACATTGTTTATGCCAGAACTATATTTTTTTTTATAAATAATAAAAAAGAGTGTTCAAAATGGTTTATTTTATACATATTTTAATATTTTTCATTCAAAAAATTTTATAAACATAAAAATTGGCTTTTTTTAATCAGAAAAAGACATAGGGAAAGCAGTTAAACAAGAAAAACTTTTCTAAATCATTTATTTTATCGTTAGGTATTATTATAATAATAGACAAATGTCATTGTCTCTCAAAATACAATATCTTTCTTATTTCACTGTTGATAGCCCGACACGTATTCTGCAGCCATCTTGTATTATCTCACGTGCGTGGGATTGTGGGATCTCTCTTATGACTGGATCTATAGTTTCGAGCACTCTCTCGAGTCGATCGCGATTGAACCTCGTTTCAGTCAAGATTGAAATGGTCGATGGAGGTTGCACCAGGCGAACAGGGTATAAGGCTCTAGTTTAGTAGTGTTGCAGAGTATAATACGTATATTTTAATATATTTTTTAAAAGAAACAAAACCACTGAGAAATGTTACATGTGTTTTACAACGGGTTCGGAAAACTTTGAAAATGTTAACAATGGGCTCGGCCAAACCTGTGCGAACCCGCTGAATATCACCACTGCCTGTATGAATAGACTGCATGGAACTATTACTGGTCAGAATATTTTCAAAGTTGAGAAAACATTAATTTGTGGAGACTTTACACCTACATCTTGTTAACTTCTCCTCTTCCTTGGAGTGTTCCCAAGTTAGGGAAAAAGCTGCAGGAAAGAGAGAGAGACAGTGTTTGTGACCAGATGATGTTTTTTGCAGTCTACTATCATCTCTTAAATCGCAAAGATGACCACCATGATTATTGAAAGGACTACCAGCAACATTGGTCACTTGAACCCAGAATTATCAGCACAAAACCTTTCTCACTAATTTCTAGCCTTATTAACAGGAGTACAAACTTCTTCTAACCAACACTCCACAGTGTGTACCCAAGGAAGGCCTATTAAGAAGGCCGAAAACGTTTGTACTCCTGTTAATAAGGCTAGAAATTAGTGAGAAAGGCTTAGTGCTGATAATTCTTAGAAATAGTTCTAGCTACACATGCATAGTAGTGTGAACCCAGAATATGATGACAATAGGATGAGATAAAGGTTAAAGCTATATTGATCTACAAAACTGTTCAGTGTATTAATTTTTATCAGAAAAAATAAGGATTTTCATTAATGAACATTTTGACCTGAAAATACTGAGTTACTGGAATAGCATCGCAACTTCCTCAGTTCTGGAGGTAGAATATATGCTTATCGTTCTCCAGATTGAAGCAACATTTCACTTATCAGGAATAACTGTAGATATCACCAAATATTCAAGCCTCATTGTAACTATCAACACAGAAACCTTGGCATACATTAGAGAAATCATCTTTCAGCCACTGCAAGAGAACAAATATGAAAAACTGAAAAAACATACTAATCAGAATTTGCTGATACTGAAAGTAAAACTATCAACTACTTAGTGAACTGCAACTGGAGGACAAATAAGCCTTTTTATTTACTAAGACAAATGAAAATATTAGCTTAGGACAAACTGAACAATGATTTCCTGAAAAGCTTTTGTTTGCAACAATTATCATCCAATGTACTATACAAATAATTTTGTTTGCTTCTAGGGAAGATTTATCTTAACTGGCAGTTCTAGCAGACAAGATAAATGAAATGTCCAGTGAGAATACTTCAGTATACACAACACAATTTATATATCATAAAAACTTATTTGGAGAAATTTACAAACCTTATGAAAATATAAAATGTTTTAAGACTTACAGTTGTTCATTGTACTATTCATCAGCAGTTAGGTTACTTTGCAAAAATATATTTGAATGCATTATATACTGTACTTCATTTGCTAATGTGGATTTAACCATTATCAATTTTGTGAATTTTTGTCAGAAATAAAAGTTGAATTTCCAACTTATCAATTCAATGGCTTAACTGTAATAATTAAAGTTTTATTGCATTTTTTTGTGCTCAGGGCTGTGATTGAAATTTTTCTGAATGAAAGTACCATCTTCAACCACTATTATCAAATACTGAATAGCTTTGGAATTTAGCTTTTGCTATAGATATGCAAAATCTATAATGCAGTAAAGTCATTTTTATGACAATTGACATTATTTGAGTTACATATTCTTGTGACTCAAATAATAGAGAGGTTGCAGCCGATGTTTTCATGTACGTTGGACATCAGTGCCACCTTCCTATAAGCCTAGAAGTTAGACAAGGGCATTTGGAACGTCATTGGAATCATGCTCAATGTTCCAAACACCATTGTCAAACTCGGCTTACAGGAAGGCGGCACTAAACGTCCGAAATACACTTTTTCATGTTGAAAATTTCAGCCGCAACCTCACTAATATTAGTTATTTAAGCTGCTTTACACAATTCTTGTACTGTCAAAAGTTAGAAAAGAAACAACATCTCCCATTTCTATAAAAATTTGCAATGGATATATTTTCCAAACTCCAGCTACAATTTCAGTGGCATTTTTCAGAACTCATTGTAAGAGCAAAAAAATTTTTATATTTCAAAATCCATTTAACTATGCAATTTAGAAGATTTCCTCTAACCTTCAATTGGAAGTGATTAATGTGCAATGTAATGAGATGCCAAAAGACAAACATTAAAAGAAGAATCTAATAAATTCTAGTAATACCTCTCAAGCAATGAATTTTCTCAAATAAAATTATATGATGGCAGATTTTTATCAATATTTGGCAGTACTTATTTCTGTGAAAAGACATTTTGAAAGATGAAATATGTAAAATCTTATTACAGATCAGCATTAATAGATGAACATTTGTAAATGATTTGAATGATAGGGAACACTAATTTTAAATTTTAATTAAGTGAACTTCCATTAATAAATCTATAATACAAAAATTTTACCCTATTATTATTATATCTGGCTGATAGAATTGACTGATCTCAAACAATGAATTTATCCAGTACAGCTAGTGAAGTTTTCCAGCAGTAATGAATGATCAAATAAAAAGTTTACTTGTGAAGTGTAAACTTTGCAATCCTATAAGCCATCTGTAATTTTGTTAGACTTGATGTTGCTTGTCAGTGATTAGTAAAAACTGATTAGACTTGTGTAACTGGTTATGTAACAAAGAAACAAAGATTACACTGTCTTGACTCATGTCAAGACAGTGTAATCTTTGTTTACATAATCAAGGTCAGTGCTGAAAAGGGAAGAGTGAAACGAGGTCACCATCTCTAATGGCTTCTGGAGGGGTCAACAGTGCCACCAACCTTTTATTACGTAATGGAAAAATTTACAAAACATCACCATGACATAACTCATTGTATGTAACGATGTTATATAGCTTTTAACAATAATTTCAATTGTTGATTCCAACAATTATTATAATTTTGTTACATGTCTTAAGGAACACTTAAATCTCAAGCATTTATTTACCATAGACCCAAAGAATAACATTAAAAATTCCTCATCAGTATCATCAAATCTATTCTTGCAAGTAAACTTTTCATTTGATCTCCCTGTATAAATAAGTTTCTAAATTTCTTGTTAATCCAATAAAAATATTTGTGTCAGAGTTAAAATGATATTACATTATTACAGTATTATGAAAGTGTAAATATTTTCTTATTGTTATGTAATGAAATATTGATATTCTGACGTGTATTTAGTGTATATATTTTGAACTTAAGTCTGGGTTATTTAATTACACCTTATCAATATTATTTAATAATTAATTAAAGTATGTAATATAAATTAATTCATATCAAAAATCATATATATTTAGCTTTATATTCTTTTACAGATGGGTCTCAAAAGCATAAAGGAGTATGATTTCCATGACATTTTGTCTGCACTGGAGGACCTGATTATTAAACTTCCCTTCTAGAAAGACAGTTTCAGCCTTATCCTTCCTTTGATAAGAAAAGAAATAGAAAACTAGTGTTGGATTGGACATTAGTAGAGTGTAGCAGTGTACATTTTCTTTGCTGCTTTCAGAGCTGAATACAATGATATAGAAAAAAAGACCTCCTTGGGGATCAAAATTCAATGCTCTTCTGTAAAGACTCAACATAACAGTATTGTTTTTGGCCTTGTTGGTGCCAAGTGGTAAGTAACATCAACCATATCAGCCCTTGGTGAATAGACTGCACATACTGTAATATACCATGTTCTTCCATCATTTTAAGCCAATTGGATGCTAGAAGTTGAAAACATTCATCTTTCAGAAGACTGGATCAGAATCAGTGTTAAAACATTGAAGACTTCAGACTTCTAGGCTTTATAAAAGAAAGCCTCATTATGTGTCAATCTGTCCACACTTCTGGACTACTAGAATGAAGCAGCAGGACTAAAAACATAATGTAGACAAGTCTGTATGTTACAAGATAGAATGAGACATTGTCTCAAAACTTGTATACATTGATTACATCCTCGTATCTTCCCATTGTGCAGCATAATTTTTCTAGTAGCTCTAGAACTCTACAAAGAGATTTCTTTTCTGAACAAATATTTTTCTCATCTGTATAGGAACGAAGAAAAAAGTTTTGCTCTTGGAGATATCTTTCGCGGATTATTGTAGAGTTTACAGATACTTTTCACAAGCAATGATAAGAATTATTTTAGTCACGTATTTGAGATTGTAAGAGGTGCCCCATTTCTGTTGTCCTCTATCTGTTGGCAGCATGTTTTGCCATAGGAGGGTGTACCAGTCAACAAACCAGTACGTGCCATCTGTTCCCAGTGACGCAGGGACGGTTAGGTTTTAGGATGTAGATGTAGTGTAATTTATTCCTGCAGTGGACAGGGTATCAAGTCAACCAAGAATCTTTCGGGCAGTTTTGCTTTTAGATTTCGATACCTATATATTTGCAATGCCGTTATATCTAGAATAAACGACATTTGCACTGTAGGCTTAGAAGGCTAGAAAACACTTTTGTATTAATATTTTAAAAATTGTACTTAGCTAAACAACACGCGACGAGTAGAGATTGGATGCCGGAAAAGTTTCGGCTATATGTTGAATACAGCTCTTAGCTAAAAAAAAAAAAAATCAACAAACATGCCTTTGTTGAATACTGTATGGCATGTAAAGAAAGCCTTACAAGTATGCTAATGATAAAACAGCAAAATATTGCACCGTCTGTTTCTTTGGCTACATCTCATAGTATGTATGCATTGGCACTGGTTTCAGTCAGCAAAGATATCAAGTTGGCTGCACTAGACTGAGTTATAGAATTTGTCAAGGGTCTGTGATAGGACACCTTTCACATCTTTTATACTTTTTACAGTTGAATTTTCCAGACAATATAGAAGATTAAGGAAAACATATTTGATGAAAAGAATTATTCGTATAAATGTGTAAATTACCTTGAAAAAAAATTTGCAGTTTTTCTTTCTTGATTCAGAATTTCCAATTATACCATGCCAAAAACATCCAGATAGTAGCGCACAGACATTCATTGAGATAGGACATCGCTTTCATAGGATGTTTACAAGTAATAGAAAGAAACAACAATTAATGCCAGTTACAACATTCTGAGTTGGCTGCCTATTGGAAGTTATTTTGTTCTATAAAGCAGCATATGTCCTATCTGTGTCTTACTGGATGGAAAGACAAAACATATTTTGATCACTTGTAGATTTAAGAAAAATGGTCAAGTAGTTGCATCTTCTACACTAAAACATTTACTAGCATTCCAGCTGTTATAATTTGGGGTTATATATATAAATATATATATATATATATATGTAAAGATAGTTAGATAGATATATTGGGGATTTTAGGGTGTAATATTCCATGCCAATGCAGCATTTCATACAGAGAATTGCACAAACACAGCATTCCTCTTCCCAGACTGACAAAGATGAATGTTCAAAAGAATTCTTGTGTGTCAGTATATATACTATATATCTTTTATAATTGCATCAGTTGGGTATCAATGAGCCAAATGCAGTAATATATCCAATCTAAAGATGCCATCTTCATTACAATTGATGTATTATTCTATTATTATATATGAATCAATTTTCAACAACTTAGTTCGGTATAAATTTTTAATATATTATATGTCAAGTTTATAAATTGTTAGTCTTTCATTTTAAAATTTACTAGCCAAGTCCTGGGAACAAGAGAAATGAAAGAAGTGGATTGAAATTCTTAAGAAAATGCTCATTAATTATTGGTGTGAGACAGAATGTTGATATCAAGTTCTCTAGCCAAATTTAACTACCATTGCAAAATCTGCCCTACTTGCCAAATGAAGTTTTTTATTGAATTGATTTTTCTTCATAGAAGATTTTTGTAGAGTAATTATTGCACCATATGCCTATCTACTAATTCCCAATGCCTTGGTGCATGGGTTGCACCATTTAGCATGCTATATTGTATTTCATTAGATATATAGAATATCATCCTTGCTAAAACTCCTCATTAACTACTGTGAAAGTGAAAGACAAAAAGAAGAAAAAGTGGAGGAGCTCATTGTTCATCTTGTTTAGCCATAGTTATCATCACCTTATTGATATATAGCAAGCACTGTAGGCAAGTGAACAGCAGTGGGCAGACATATATTGATATCCTTAACTATATATATAGTATATATATACAAACATATATATATATACACATATATACACATGTATTCATACATTATTTTCATTCAAAATATTATTGTTTGATCTTTTTCTGTTTTGGTAATTCATGGAATTATTGTAAATACGTATAAAATTTATCTTTTATAGAATTTATTATGACTGTGAGCATCAACTTATTACAGAAGTCATTAAAGTGCCTGTGAAGTGGTAATAGAACTCAAGTCATGGGACCATTTCTTAGATCACGAGGAATGAATAACCAGGCTGTTACTGATAATCTCAGTATATCCAATGCATTATTGCTTTCATTTTTATTCAGAATTAGAAGCACAACTCTCGTCTGACAAAACTCTACATTCATCCGACCAGTACTTTTCTTTATCTTTTACAGTTCCAGCGTAATCATTATATTAATCTAATATACTGAATACCCATTTAATTTACTTTTAAGAAAAAGGGAAAAGTATCCTGTATGATAATAAACAGAAAATTGTTTTTAAATCTTTATGTCAAAATATAATGTATATATAGGCTTAATACAAATTATATTTATTTTTAATATAAAAAAAGTTGTATTAATTGGTACTTTTCAGCCTCCTCAATCTTAATTTTGTATATAGAATTTTTGTTTAAGAGGAGGAAAATAGCACAATGCCTTATTGATCAAATGGAATCTCTTGTCTGTCCACTTGCTATTCACTTCTTTGTCTAGAATAGCTGTTATTTAGAAAATTTAGAAAAACTACTGCAGAATTATTTGTCCAGCACATAGTGATAGCTTCCAATGGAAAAGTTCCATCTAGATGCCTGGCACTGAAAAGAGACTTTGGCTGTTGGATACCAAAACTATATGTGATTTTTATTACCATTTTGGAAAATTAAGTTTCCCTGTAAAGAATGATGTCAATATCCATAATTGTGATTATGTTTTTTACTTACGTAGAAATAGTGCTAACTGTGAATTTCTATACATATATATATATATTATATATATAGATACTGTATTTCCTAATGTAGATAATGTTTACTTTTATCTTAATTTATTTATTTAAGTCCTAAAGAACAATTCAATGTGGCCAAGTGCAATCATAAACCATAAAGTATTTAAAATTGTTTTTTTTGTAAAGGTATCATCAACAAGAGGTCAAGTTTCAAAAAATATTTTGAAGCTTAATGGATCATGTACAATGTATATAGCATATCAACCATATGAACTACGGACAGTTATAATTTTTTGTTGATATTATCTCATGATGATAAAGAGTCATCCTCCCCAGTCGTCCGCGTTGGCAAACTATACTTCATTATATCATTCTATATACATAAATACATAACTAGCTTTATAATTATAAGAATATTTATTCTTTATTTGCTATCTCCTTTCCCCTATCAAAAATCATCGACGCCCCTAGCAGCTAGTTATAACACAAAGTTATATTATCAAAACTTTTTGTAATCGGGGAGATAAATTACAAGAATCCAGTTAACAGGTTTATAGGTTTGTCATTATGGGCGGGGGAAGGGTGTGTGTGTGAACCAATTTTGTACTAGGTGAATATTAATTCTCCATTTCTTGTTACAGTCAAACGGTCCACACAATCGCAAACATGAGCACGATCATTTTGAATGGCCGTTCCGGGGTCATTCTCTTGTTTTTTCCTTACTCTGGGATTGCCATGTGATTAAGTACGAGCTTACTCATGGGGAAGGAAAAACTCCATATCCCAGTCAAAATAACAACAGCAAAGTTTGATATCCTATCATGAGCACTGTAATTAGTCTAACCATACTCTCTCAAATCTATTATACTTGTACCCTAATGCTTCTCTTCAGAAAATAAACTGCAATCTTTGAATGAATGGTCTTTGTTATTTTTTAATAGAATAATGTAGGATTCTATTATAATAAAATACATTTTACAAAATTTACATCTGCTGGAATAATGATTTAATTATTAAGCAATACTTTAAAAATAATATTAACTATAATAATTATTTAATATGCAATAAATCTGCCAATGATTTTTATACTTAAGAATTATAGAAAAGATTTAATTTATTTGAACGAATTTAGTACATTAAAAATAATGAGTAAAATGATGGATTGCGTTTTATGGTACTAAAATAACTACCTGGTAAGTAGAAAAACAAGTGCACTAATAAAAAAGTTAATGCATTTAGTAACTTAAATATTCTTGTACTTTCTGTAGTCCATCTTCAGAACTAAGAAAAAACTTGGAAAATTAAAAACGTTACAAAAAGAAAATGCTATAATTAATCTTTTGAAAATGAACCAGAGGGAATTGGAAATTATATCAATACATGTGTTAATTTTATTAAGTATTTTTTTCTAAATAATACATAAATTTTAATAAGTTTGAACTATAAAATGTAATTCAATAGAATTAAAAAAAACCAAATTAGTTTAATTAATAATTATTTCTTATTACAAAATTAATTAATCTGATTATATACTGTAGATAGTCAGATGAACAAAGCGATAAAGCTGTCAGATTGCCACTCTAGGGAACCTGAATTGGTTGGGAACATTAGAAAATTTACATGGAATGTATATCCCATTAAGTCAGGTTCTATTCCTTATCATCTGGATGAATCCATATCGGATAGAAAAAGAAGACCCTCTCACTACCCTAGAAGCAGAAAAAGTAAAGAAAAACACCATATAACTGTTGAAGAGTAAAAATAGTTATTATATAATGTAGCGTATAAAAAAAAGTTATATATAATTGAAATATCAATTAATCAAACCAAACTAATAGTTTTACTATAAAGAAAACAAAGCTAAGTTTAACTTCATATTATTTTTTTAAATCTTATTTTATTGCACAAAAAGTATTGTTTTAAAAATACCTTAAAAGTAATTTATATGATCTTCACTGTATACAATTTCCAACTGTGGTATTAGATACATAAACATAATCTGTTTATTGAATATTGATATTGAAATAATTTGGTGGCAATGTTCCTGATATATTTAATTATCATTAAAACTAACGTGTTATGAAATTGAAACAATTTTTTAAATACAAAACCGCTATAAAATTGAGATACAACAGAATATGCAAGATATGAAAATAATATTAGGGTTTTGTACGGATTATATTTTTAAACATCGTAATTTCCAAATAAATTCCCAGTGGAAAAACCTTATTAGAGTAACATATGCAAACGTATGGCTCATTAATTAATTAATACCGATGAAGAAAATTGCTAAAATGTTTTCTCCTGATCAAACTATATCCTATATTGCTTAATAGTTTTTTTATGATATTTAATATTGATTTAGCGTGGAACTACAAAAATATGCTATACATATTAATCTCGATAATTAAATATTTTCGTTATTTTAGAAAATCTCAAATTGGATCGTTGTGGATATTAATCGAGAAATGTTCATTTCTCGATTAATATCCAGATTTTACTAAACTCTTGGAATAATTAAACTTTCGATTACTCCTAGAAAAGAATGAAGATTTCTAGCAATAAGTTGGAGGCATGCAATACAGATATGGATTTGTTGATCTAGCACACTATGAGATTATATGGAGGCTGATTCACAGTGGAGTCGGGAGAGCATGTTTGAGAGAAGAGATCGACGCCTCGACTCGAACTATCAACGAAAATTCGTGCGGATACGAATCTTTCATGGCGATAGGATGATACTTTTGTTCAATTTGTTGCACTTCCATCCGATAGAACTGAATAGATATTACAGTATGTTACTGTACATTTGGGGTCGTCCATAAATTACATCCGCATTTTTCTTGAAATTTTTACTCCCTCTCCTCCTTTTGTCCAAGTTTTCGTAATTCCCTTTCTTCTTCGGACGTTCAGCAAAACTCAATCCCCCCTTAAAATCTGCATCACTTTATGAATGGTAGATACCATAAGTAGAAACGAAACGTACAAGAAATTTTGAAATTATAATAAAATGCATAAACTGTATAAAAGTTAATGAAATAAACGGACGTCCACTGGAGCTCAACCCCTCCCCTCCATCTTGTTCGACTTGTAACCCTCCCTCCCAGTGTGAACATCATTTATAGACAGTCTCTTTGGATACATTGTTACTTTCAAGAACACTTGTTTAATTAAGTTCCTTTATGAAGCACATCTAAAATCGGATTTAATAAATAGATTTCAACGAAATGTAGCAAATATGCAAAACGTATACCCGCATGCGTTTTCTCCCCACGTATGCCAAAGAATAGTATGTGGAATTAGTTTCAATTTTGATTGTCAGAAAAAAATGAAAATATTTTACGTGATTTTAATCTTAATAATAGCAATGACAGTATTTATTCTCTTAATTAATAGCAGAGTTTTACTAAAGAAAGTATGCTGCTTGTTTAATTTGTAAGACAGTCGTTAAAAAAAGAATTAGGGACAATTTCAGGCACAAAGAAAAAATATTTGTATCTGCAGGCACAAATTACTCGTTTATTCAATGTTCACAGTTATAACTAAATTTTTCAAAAATGCATTCCTTCCGTTTTGGAGAACATTCTCTGTTGTCAATGTCACAGAATCCATATTATGGATTCTGCTGCAGATAATTAGAGAAATTTGATTACAGTATAACCATTTTGGTATTTGATTTTGCATCCATCCTTCTCATGTCTGAAACTTCTGAATAAAAGTCATGTTGGGTATCTATGCACTGCAATTCATTTTGAAAATTAATTAGCGCATAGAGTTCTATTATGTCTATTATTAATGTCTCCCTTAGACATATAGTAGATGTTTTTTTTCCTTTCTTGTTTATAATTACTTTGATTGTGTACAGTATATTGTAATTTCCAAATTTATATACATGTTAAAAGAAAATGCGCTGATGTATACTACGTAGCAGGGATTCTCAACGAGATCGATTAAATTATACAGGAATCGATGGACAAGTTAGTTATATCTTATGATTATGTTTTATGGGTTATTTTTCATATTTTAAAAATAATAGTCTTAAATCAAAATAGAAGACAGCGGAATATTAATAATAAAGTAAACAATTTTTTGGTTTTCGTTAATAATTGGTTTCGTAAACATCTTTTAGATTAACAACTTATTGCTGTGATGGACTACGTTTGTCAGGCGTTCTTATCTTCAAACTCAGACAATTATGCAAGAATTTTGTTCCAAAACTGATTTATTGAAGCGGTACGTTGGCGAAGCATCTATGAGGCTTACAGAACTGTGTTCGTTCTGAAAATCTATCGAACGGATTTTGATTTGCACGTATCCACTTTTCCTTAAATAATCTTGCTCTTCTCTTCACGATAGCGCCGGAAAGCGAGCGTATGACTAGAAAAAACATGAAATTTCTAATTAAAATTCTATTAAAAATGTTTGACATATATAGACGGACACCAACCTCCGCACGTATCGACTTTTCCTTAATTATGTTAATGTACAGCAAGAATTAATAATTTACTTATTTAAAGTAATAAATTTTAAGTAAAAATAAATTAATTTTTTAAAAATAAAATTTAAACGAATTTCTTTTTATGATTTCGGAAAAAGTATATTTATGACCAGGTATTTAATTTTAAAAAATACTAAAACTTGTTCTAAACAGAAACCTGCCAAAATTACAAAAAAATACTGTGCGATTACAGTTTACACAGGTTTTACTGTATTTTAGAGTATTGTACCTAGGTACGCCACTATATTATATCTAGTGGCGTAGCCTGACGGCCAAAAGTTACATTATAATGTAGTAGAAGCGATAAAACTTATCACTATGACAAAACCAATGTGTTAACATCGGCAATGCTAAGTCAGGACTGATACCACATGTGACATAAGGCGCACAGGAACCTTCCGAATAATTATCGCGCGAGCGGTCCTGTATGAGGGAATGAACGGGTCCGGGACTGAGGAGTCTTTCTTCTTTATTTCATACAATGGTTAATATTGAGTGTGCAGCTCATATAGACAATTTACTCCGAAAGACAAGAATATGGACGCATGCGTCCGATTAGCCTGCCTTTAGATGGAATAGCCACACGCGCGCGAGGGAAATGATACCTTTTGTGATGTCTTTTAATTAAGGGAAACTGGCCCCTATTCAGGCGTTACAAATGTGGAGAAAACCCGGAAAACTCCACACCGTCTGAGCGAGGCGCGAACCCACGACCGAGTTCCCAGTGTTCAGGAATGAAAACCACTTGACCACTGGTGGACCGACTAAGGAATCAAGAGAGTGCGCCGGAAATAACGCACTCACTACGCATTTAACCAGCAAACAACAAATATTTACTTTTTAGGTGGAAAAAAGTTTACAAAAAAAATCGAAATATTGTAGATAGGAGAGTCTTAATTCGCTCCAAAATGAGAGAAGGTGTTTACAGTTACATTCCTGGTTGATATTCAATATAATGTTCGACGATCACTGGCCGGCTTGGACGTCCTGGAGAGGGGGAGAGTCTCTCGCTTCGTTATGACGAGTCTTGGTGAAAAGTCTTGAATCCCAAAGTTCGTAAAAATAAAATCCACAACTATTTTTGTCCAATTAATTATTTGTAAATTCGAAGCGGCCATGGTCCGATGGCAAGGGCGAGAAATCGGGAAGATCGGCGGTGGAGCCGGCGGGGATGAGCACCCATGTCAATATGAGTAGACAAACTCTCTCATGACTTTCCCCCTCTCTCCTTTTTCTCTCTGTTTTTATTTGGGGTTATTCCCCCTGCTATTTTGATCACCAAATTTGGTAAGGTTATGCATGCAGCTGGTGGTTAGTCCAATTCCCGATTTTTTGAGGCACTTCGCGGCCCACCAGTGACCAAGCGGTTTCTGTCCCTGAACACTGAGAGTTCGGTCGTGGGTTTACGCCGCGCTCG